CTCCCTCAGCTTAGTATACAATATATGGTAAGGATCCCCAGTAACCACAGTTTGCCACGCCTCCTTCAATAGCTCATTGTTTATGATTCAGAGCTCTCACCATGCCATGGAAAAACCCTGTGTGGTATCACCATTTGTAATCCATTGAACTCGTGACTTCTGCCTATAAAAAGCCTCTTCTGCATCTTACAATTCCCTGCATAGCTTCTCTTGAAACAGAACATCCTGAGCATGAGCATCAGTAGGATCAGCAAGGAAATCTCGCTGTATCCCCTCAAGCTTCTCCTCATCCACCCTTGTACGAATAGAGATTTCAGAGTAAACAGTTCTATTCAGCTCCCTCAACTTCCCCTTAACTCCCTCAGCTTAGTATACAAGATATGGTAAGGATCCCAGTAACCACAGTTTGCCACGCCTCCTTCAATAGCTCATTGTATCGAGGGTACTGCCTCCAAAATAAGAAAAACTTAAAAGGTTTTGGTAATGAAGTAATTACCGGGTTTGTCTGCACAAAAAGACCACAATGATCATAAACACCTGGAGCAATAGTCTGAACCATACTGTGGGGAACTGATCCAACCAAGCTTCAGTGACTAGAGCTCGATCAATTCGACAGGCAATAGGGTTCTGAGACTGCTTATTCCACCACGTGAACCAAGACCCTAGCACCTTATGATCAACCAATTTCTTATCCAAAATCCACTGACGAAAAGTCAATCATGCTTTGACTCAGAACCGGGTTATTAGACACTTCACTACTATCTATGATAGCATTGAAGTCCCAAATGTAAATGCAAGGCTCAACACCCATATTTCCCCTCAACCGTCCATATAACTCAGCCCTTGCTGCCTCTTTGTTAGGACTATATACAGCAGTGACCACACATACTTCACTCCCTAGAACAACTCGAACATAAATAAAATGTTCATCCATATTCACCTCACTGACTTGCAAGGAAGGCTTCCGGAACAACCATACTCTTCCAGACTGAGAATACTTGTAGTTATTTAAATGTTTCCATCTACTAAACTGTATATTTACTATATCTGCAGAATTACCTTTCAAAACTCTAGTTTCCAAAATAGCAAACATATCTATTTGTAATCTAGCTACCTGTTTATTTACGTATCTATGCTTCTCAGGGCCATTAAACCCCTGAGATTCCAGCATAGTAACCTCATTTATCCTTTTTTCCTTTTCTTCCCACCTTTCTTTGGCGAGGCAGGAATCACCAATTCAATACCCTTATCATTTAATGTGACCCGAGCCTGAATAGCTGACACATGAATCCTCACATTACTGCCTATCTCCTTACCACCTGAACCATTCTTACCCTTCCTTACACCCACTCAAACCCATCCTCATCCAGTAAATCAGCCCTCTCTGGTGTTGAAGAGCTAGTAGTTATGACCACCACCTCCTTAGCCCCCATCGCCTGAACTGTAGAACTTGGTTGAGCCAATGAACTACTGTGATTCACCACAGTTACCACCGGATTACCTCCTTTAGTACTATTCAAAGAAGATTCACCAACTGCTACTTCCTTGCCCTTATCAATTGCCTGCACCGAAATAGCCACTGCCAGAGGTTCCTGCTTTACTACTTTACACTCCAAGCCAGCACCCATCTCATGACCAAATTCAGCACACTAAGCACAACGAACTGGGATATTGAAATAGTGAACAAACAGATGCAAACACTCCTCGCCTTCTGGACGAATCCGAACCTCAGTGGGGAAAAGAGAATCCGCTGCCATTTCAATACACAATTTTGATGTACCCATCTGGGATCCTAACTTTGTGGCTTGATCCATCCATAATGGAGTACCCAACAAACTTGCTACTCTACTCAACCCCTCCACCGTCATATATTCCAACGGCAGCTCCCTGATTCTAACCCAAATCGGCAGCATAGAGTTGTCCAGCTTCACCGATTGAATTCCTGGGACCCATTTTCGAGTGAACAAAGGGATATTCTCACAATGCCATGGCCCATTCTCAAAAACCCAGGTACTCGATTCATCACTTTCATATTGAAACACAAACATATTCTCACCAAAAGCGGAGACAAAGACGCGACCATCTTTGCCCCAGAAATGCTAAGCCCAGTGACGAATCACAACAATCGGAGGTGCCTTGGAGAGGAACTGCCCAACCAAAGCATTATGCCATCTAACTGCGCCTTCATCACGAACCGCCCTCGGAATCACAAGCTCATCATCCACCAGGGTAGGAGCAACGTAGCGAAGTCGATTGCCTTCACCCACGCCAAAGAGCTGAGCCCAATTTCCCGGCCCCGGCGCGGCCATGGCCGCCGAGAAACTTGGTAACTAGGTCAGAAGGAGAGAGAAATAAGAGAGAGGTAAGAGTCTTTGATAGTTTTAGTTATAACTTTTAGGTTTAATTCACTTGCATAGCCATAACTATCCACATTTTGACAACAATAGCCACTTTTAAGAAAATACACAGTTGTAGCCACATTTTAGAAACTCGTTTGACATAATTAGCCATTTCCGTTAAAAGATTTAACACCGTTAACAGCACGCTAATGTGGATGCAACCTCAGCTCCTACATCACCTCCAACACACCAAGTCATACCACCTAGCTGCCACATCATATTTAAAATAAAATAAAAAATTATCTTTCAAAATTATTTCTTTTTTTTTCACTTTCCTCATCGGTCTCTCCTTCTCGGCTTCTCCCATCTCGTCCCTTCCCTTACGACGGCTCTCCTTCTCAAAATCAAAATCCCACAAACCCTTCCCAGATCTCTTTCCTTTGCCCAAAACTTTCAGATCCACCACCCTAATCCTACGTCCCAGAAACCAAAGATCTAATTTTCATTTTTCCTTTTCACCAATCGAAAATCCCTAAGCCCAAAAATTCCCAAATCTCCAGATCGAGTTCTCCTTCCATTCCAGCCCGAATCCGTTCATCATACGTCCAATGGCTGGGTCAACGTTGCACAAGCAAAACCACCTCCACCTCGTGTTCAGTTCCACAGACGACTCAGCCAATTGTGAAGAGCCCAGTGGTCGAGAATCCACCGCTGTTGATGGCGTCGCCGTCGAGAACTGTTCGAGCCAGACCCCGACGAGAGCACCGAGGCGACGAAACCCATAGAGGAAGAGGCAGCAACGAGATCCCATCTGCTGTTAGAATGGAGTTGTTCGACAATCTGAAAAAAAAATTACGAAGACCGAACACCAACAGCAGCAGCAAATCGTCTCCCACCACCAACAACAACAACAACCAATCCAAACAAACTCAGATGAAGGTCTATTTCCAGATTTCTGCTTCTCCATAGTCTATCTTCCACTCTGTAAATCTGTCGGGAAGTTGTGGCTTCTCACGGCACGGTCCGCTTCGATTCCTAGGTTCCGTTTCGAAATCGAAAGCAGTAACTCGAAGTCGCCGGTGGTGAACTCCATATCAAAGTCGCCGTCGCCATCGATTTCGTTTTGCTCTCTGTTTCTTAATCCCCAGACCAACCACCGCAACCAATTGGAGACCAGAGTCATTCATTCCTGAACAAAACTCAGCGGGAGATTCGAGGAGGTAGTTGCAGAGAGGGAGTTGTATCAATGGAGAGAGGGAGAGCACTCAGAGAATCGGTGATGAAGGTCAGAGGAAGGACGGGTGATGGCGAGTCGGATCTGTATCCAGACGGGGGGAAATTTTTGAATTGGGGAAGTTTTGTTCGATTGGGTTTGTATATTGGGGATTTTCCAAGAAAAGTAGATGAAGGTGGGGAGTCTCAGAGAATATGAGAAAGGGATTTGGAGGCTAGCCGCAGCTCTCGATTCACTCGCTAGAAGTGATGAATCGCCGGCAGGAAGGGAAGGGATGGGATGGTGGGGATTGGGGAAGGTCAAGCGACGATGATAGATATGAGATTTATTTAATTTTTTTTTATTTTATTTTTTTATTTCCTTTTTTCCCAGTTAGTATTACAATAAAAATAAGTCATTTCCAACTTGGCAAAAAGTTGACACATCATCAAATGACGTTAGTCTAGTCAGCATATGTCATTGTGCCGTTAAACTTATGGACGAAATGGCTATTTTAGTGTATTTTTCAAAATTTGGCTATTTTTGTCAAAACGTGGATAGTTATGGCTATGCAGATGTATTAAACCTAACTTTTACCACATTCCACTGAACATAATTCTCGTATTATAATTTTGTTAGTAAAATTTCATTTAGATTATTAAGATGTTACGATAATAAATGCAATGATTTTAGTTATTAAAAAGAAGTTTGATGTATTGGAAAAGAAGCAAACTTAACTTAATCCGCATTCGAAATTTCGTACTAAACAACAAAACTAAACGAAATGATTAGATTTATGCATGACGGGCTAGCAGCCGAACTAGTTAAGTCGCTACTTGGAGTACGCACTTGATCCCGATGACGAGTGTTAGAAATTCGGTGACTACAATTTTTGTGATCGTCGTTTTAGTTCAGAGACGGGGGAGGGTATTTTCGCAACTCCTCAAAAACACGGTGGCAGACATGGTTGTCACGCCGGCCGGCGTGCCACCGGTTGTACCGGGTTCAACCAGTACCGGTCATAAAACCGGCGTGACACCACCGGTATAACCGGCATGATCGATATACGAATCTCTAAGTAAAATGACCTTATTTTAGAGAATTTAATTGATAAAAATTATTTTATTATTTATTTTATGAGTATAAAAGTTAAATATTGATGTTATTTGTTGGATTCAAGTATAAATGTTTAGGTATTGACGTTAAATGCCATGTTTAAATATGAGTATTTATAATTTTATTTGTAATATTGACCAGCATGAACCGGCACAAACCGGTATGTACCACCGGTTGAACCATTCCACTTGCTAAACTGGCACACTGGCATAAACCGGTTTGACAACCTTGGTGGCAGGGGATGGTAGATTTACGAAACCCTAGGAGCAATCGCGTTATTTGTGGGTAAATATAAAAGGGAAAAGATGGAGACTTTGAGATCTCTAGCCGCATTCTAACCCTAGAACAGCCGCCTGAACTCCTCTCTCTCTCGGCTCGCACCCTCTCACCTCTCTCTCATCTTCTCTTCTAGAAGAGACCGAAAAAAAACCTAATCGAACAACACCGCCCTCTCCTTCTTCTCCCTCTCGCATTCTTTCTCTCTAAACCGAGAAATAGAAACGGACGAGCCCTCTCCTCTTCTACTCTATTCGATATACCTCTCTCTCTCTCTCCTCATTTCTGGATGTGACGAAGGAAATGAAGAAGGGCATTTCCGGCAGCTAATGGAGGCATCCGGCGCCGGTGATGACAACGACGATGACGAGGGTGAAGTTAAAGGTTCGTTTTTGTTTTGCATGTATGATTTTTACTATTTTCAGGTTTTGATTTTAGGGTTTTCGAGATTCTAATCCTTTTTCCTTGTTTGTTTTGGGATATCAGCTCGAAACCGAGATGGGAGGCCTGCATTTCTAATCGAAACCGCGCGGCAACAATGGGATCTTACCCTAAGGTAAGATTTTTGGACATGCATGTTTATTTTTATTTAATTCCGTACTAGATCGGGATCTTAACCCCATTTTTGTGTGTTTTTTTTTTGTTCTAGTCTCTACCGAGGGAAGGAAAAGAGAAATGGGATCTACTGGCTGCGCGGCCCTCGCCAGAACCCGACGGCAGTGGGGTTTTGGTGAGTTTTTTTATTATTTTGTTATTCTGGATTTTGGTTTATTATCACTATTTTGGGATTCTCATTCTTGGTTTCCTTGTTTCTTAGATCTCTAAGATTTGAAGGGGGCACTGAGTGAAATTTTTCTAAACGTAGACTAGATTCCTGGGTGTTAGAGGCCTAGGATTTAGTTTCACCTATTAAAAGTGGTGCGGGTCTGTTAATATGAACTTTCCTATACTTGTGGCATTAATGGATATATTGGATTCGGGTATGGGAATCCTGAAGATATAAAAAACCATAAAACAAAATTTGTTTGCCATTACCAAATTTTGGTAATTGGGTCAAAAAGAGGGTGCCCTTGAACATGGCAAAAGGTATTCTAAAATACCTCCCAGGGTTGTACTTTTGGATTCTATTTTTTATTTGAATGGATTGTTGGATTATCTTTACTATGCTTTATATGGTTTATGGCAGGACGCTATTGGTATGTTAAAGGACTAGTGAACTAACCTAGCTTATTAGCGCACTAAGTTTTAGCTAGCAACTTAACAAGAGTTATGCTTGCTAGAAAACTTAAAGCAATTTAAGCTGATTCGTAGTATGTGGGTGATAAAAAGGAAAGCTACCAATCGTAACATATAATGAAGGAAAAGAATGGCGTAAAGAGGCATACATGTCACAAAAATCAGAATTTCATAATACCCACTTTATATACTCCCCTTTTACTGTAGCTTTCTTTTGTGCTAGCTACTTTTTATTTGTTCTTGAAGTGGTGGACTGATCTATCCCTTGCGATGGCAAAATTCTGTTGGTTTTTGGAGGAGGTGGCCGTTTTGTTGTTTTTTAGAGCATGGCAGTAAAAATCTACTACCCTATTGGGATGTGATATGGATATGCTACCTCTTAGGATGTGATATGGACAATGGGGTGGGTCGATCGGGTCGACCAATGTTGACTTTGGCTGACTGGATGATTTAAAAAAAAAACAAAATTGATGAGTTTTATGAGGAGGCGAAGAGCTCATCTCTGGCGACAAATCCTCCCACCACCACAAACGCCGTCGCTTTCCGTCCAAAATCATCTCTGCCTCCACGACCATCAATCGTCTTTGCCTCCACCAGCACCAACCTGACTTCACTGGCACACCATAAGCAGCAGAAGATGGACACGTCAATAGTAATAAATGTCGTCTATATAATTTGTTGAGAGGGGTTCAATATTGGATCTTATACCACATATAAACACGCCCCTTCAAACGAAAGCCAAGTCGTACGAGCTTGCAGTTTGTAGAGGCTAAGATATCATGTGCTTAACAAATGAGTCTTTGGGATTCGAACACACTCCTCTTGGTTACAGAAGGCTCTGATATCATGTCAAGAATCAATTGATTCCCATAAATCAAGTTGTTGGAGAGGTCCGATAATGGATCTTACCACATACTAACAAGTGGATGTCAATTTGACGAGCACAATTAATATAATTTTTCTATGCAAAAGTTGAAGTACGACTTAAATCGCAAGTGATATACCATGTTAAATTAATTGGAGAAAAATTATGTCTCTCATAAGTATTGATGAACATTATTGATGGTTATACAAAATTGAGTTACTAAGCAAATTTGCTTATGTGCAACAATTCAATAAATCACCCAACAAAATATAGTATAATTGGCATTTATCGATTCAGTCAAACCAGTTTGTTGTTGGAGTTTTTAAAGATGTACTAAAAAAAGCATTTGAATGTTTGGTTGAAAAACGATTAAAAGTGCTTTTTAATATAAGGAGTGACGTAAAAATACCTAAGCATAATTACTAATACAAAATAAAAATATTCAATATGGATCTTGTTAGATTTATTTTATATAAAATAATATAAATAAAATAAAATTTAAATATGATAAGAATAATTATGTATTTTCAACACAACTTTTGGAAAAAGCTCCAAATCGAATTATTTTATTTTAAAGTTATACAAAAATACTTTTTAGTTTTTCAAAACTCAAGTTTTTAGAGATGTTTAGCCATACTTCCACTTTTGAAGCAAAATAACACTTCTATAAGTCGACAATAATAGACAATTATTGAACCTCTCCCACAAGTGCTTTTATAAAGAAAGATAATGTTTGAAAATTATTTTAAATAGTTTATTTAACAATACTGAACTACTTTTTTGAAAGCACACTTTTGTAGCAGATGCAACCAAATTAAAACTCGCTTTAGTTTCCTACGCAGAAATTCTCCAATGATAATATCAGTCATATTGAAACTTTCCTGCATCACTGAAAAAACACAATTTATTAATCCGAAATAAAATGTCAAACAATTGAATTAATCAGTACTCCCTTTCCATGCATTACGGCTCCAACTTGAGTAGAGCATTCATAAATAAATATAAAACACGAGTAGAGTATTAATACAAAACAAGAAAAATCAACATCGATAATGGCTGCAGCTAATGTCATAATAATTCAATTAATTTCAGCACAGCAATTCAACGGTTTACATAAAATATATTTCTGAATTAAGAATTATTCATTGACAAATTATGATCCTGATCACTGAAACTCAGGTTTACGATAGACTTGTTCGAGTCAGTCTTCCTTGAATCCTTGGGGTTTATCCAGACGACAATATAGTTTAATTTTATACTGAAAAACAGTGGGATTTATTTATTACAGATAAGAAAATGCTTCAAGTTTGAATTTTACATTGAATTGTTCCAAATAACAATTGCTCCAGTTTTCCTCGATTCCTCCTTCATTTCCGCACTGTTTCTAGCTTAACACTGCAGGTCTACAGCAGATTCCGTTGACATAGATATAATTGGAGGATAATTTCGGGATGAGAAACGAAGAAAAAGAGAAGATACTATATATAGAGTTTGAAATTTCAACCATATAGTGCCCAGACATGATTAAAAAGATTCACAGGATCATCATTTTCTAGTCAACTAACCGTAATTAATTAGATTGATTTGGTAATGGGTTATGGGTATACACTATATATACATCTTGCTCTTTAATGGTTAGACTAATTCTTCGATCCACGGTGAGTGTTAATACTTAATACAGTTCTTTGATAGATTAACTGGGTACAAACACTGCAACAAAAAAAAATTATGATTTAAACTAGACAACAAAGTTGCTAATCAAACCACCTACGGCTCTTTCTGAAAAATGTTAACCCCTAAAATATGTGTTATTAGCCTTCCATTTCTTAGGTGTTATAGGATTTTTCCTCAAAGTACACATCTTAATTTTTTTTCAAAATACACATGTTTTATGAAATATTTCCAATCAACATATGTTTGGCCTTCATTGCGGCGTCAAACGCTGTGAATAACATCACCGCGGCCGACTAAAGCGGTGAATGCTACATCACGGCAACTCGAACGTAGCTTTGTGCTCGGTTATCCGATTGCAACGTTTTTTTTTTTTATTCTGCATTATTTTACGAGATCTTTCAAGTTGCAAACAAATAGAAGTGATTTGGTCCAGCCTTCGTCCCGAAAAAAATTTGATTACTATCTCAAACGAGCAAATTTTTAGATTTCGCTAAACTTTGGACGGCCATAACTTTGTGCTCTACAACCGAAACATCACAGACTTTCTTTGATTTCGCATCTTTCTAAGGACTACAACTTTTACTAGTGAAGAATTTTCAAAATATGAAATATTTTCGTATATAAGGGGTTCTGGGAATAACATTAGCTTTACTTTTCACAAATCCACGTACATTCGGAAAATATGTCTATAATAAAAGTTGTAGTACATAAAAAATTATGCGAAATCAAAAAAATAATTATAACGTTCGGGTTGCCGAGCAAAAATTATGGCGGTCCAAAGTTTGGCGAAATATAAAAATTGTTCGTTTAGCATAGCAAACGATGTTTTTCCGCAATGAAGGATAGACCAAATTGCTTCTAGCTGTTTGAGACTTGAAAGAACTCGAGAACTTATGAAAAATAATTTTTTTTTGCTACAATCAGATAACCGATTGCAAAGTTACGTTTGTTCGAAGTAATGGCTAGGTTAGGCATTCACCGCTTCCTATTGCCGAGGTGAAGCATTAACCGCTTTTGTCGGCCACGGTGATGTTATTCACCCGGCCGTTTGACAATCGCGGTGAAGCCCAAACATGTGTAAATTGAAAATATGTCGTAAAACGTGTGTATTTTGAGAATTTTTTTGAAACATGTGTTTTTTTGAAAACAATCCGGTGTTTGAATGTCGTAATCATTGTATTACAGCCATTTTGGGTCAATTTCGAGCTATTTATAATTAAATATGGATATTCTAGCACTTAGCACGATGTTCACTGATTTTTGACCATTTTGGTTGGTAACTAGTTCATTCTCATCCTATTCAATGATAGCTAGGTTGTGTTTTCTTTCATAATCTCATTTCTAAGCATGATAAGGGGTGTACCACCTACAAAATTGGGAAGAATTAGGGACAAACATTGGGGGACGACCATTGTAGTTGTCTCAGGAAATATGAGTTTAAGTAAAATTAGGGACGAGCACTTAAAGTTGTCCCCACAAAATAAGAAAATAGCTTTTATTAATTTTAGAATTTTCGTAGTTATCACCAAAAGCAAGAAGCCCGGGTAATGTAGAAAAATGTGGGGTCAATTTTTCATAGTATATTGCTCTCAATTTAACTTTCACACCAAATATTTTCAAACATTTAGATTGGCCTTTGGATTAATCACTAGTATCCTTGCAATTTTTTCCTTTTAGTTTTCCCCTTTCCACATAGCAATTCATGAGTTACCGTTCGCTGTCAGTAGTATGTTTATAAAGTGTGTTATTATTTTCATTTTCATATTCGTACCGACTTATGTTTCCTTTTCCTATTTAGATTTTATAGGTCAATAATGAACAAACTGTCGGTTATTTTTATTAAGAAGCAATTGAGTTTTATAACGGAGTTAGTGCAAAATCGTTCTATCACTTTCTCAAAAAGATTGAAAAAACTGTACTCAAACTACGAGTACAATAAACTATTATCCTATGTATAAGTTGGACACTACATAGGTTACCATTAGTGAACTTAAAGACATAGTCTAAGGAACAATTCGTCGTCCTTACAAGCTAGCTAAAAGATATGAGTTAAATTACAACTAATCAACCTTGCAAGTTATATGGAGTTATATGGAGAACAATTAGTCATTTTTAAAGGCACAAGTTTAGAGATAATGGTGGTCCCTACAAGTTAAGTGGAGGACAACTATTCGTTCCTCAAAACACATGGTAAAGAATAATTGGTCGTCTCGTCTTTGCAAGTTATATAGGAGACAATTCCTTATCTCTAACAATATATGTTAAGAACCACTAGTCCTCCATAAAATGTATATATAGGTGCCAATTTTTCATCCCCAAATCAAAACCTAAGTGACAGTTGGGGTTAAAGACACATTTGGTCACTGAGATTACAAAATCGGGACATGTTTAGTCACTAGAAAAAGTTAATATCAAATTTGGTCATTACAATTACTAAAACTGGACGCATTTAGTCACTCGCCGTTAGTCTCCGTCCAACTCCGTTAATGAAGTCCGTTAAGTGCTGATGTGGCAAACAGAATTGCCTAATCAGCCGGATATTAACCCAACAAAAATAAAACCCGACCCGCCACGTCATTATAACCCACCACCTCATTAAAACCAACCCAACCCAACCCATGACCCAACCCTTCTTCCTCCTTCCTCCCCAACCCAAT